ACCCACATGGCATGGCAGACCTCTCCTGACCTGCCTGCTGCTCCACTCTGCAGTGTACTTCGTCAGTTGATCAGTTCTGCTCCCTATTTTGTCTCTGGTGAATCCTCTCACTGCCCCTGCACCTCTAGCCTGTACCCTAGTTCTGTATGCATAAATAAATAAATATTTTTTAAAAATTGAAAAATTGTAACAGTTCATAAAATAGAAACATCATTTATAAAGGCAATGGAACATTTAAGAAATTTTATTCTCTTTTTCTGTTCTTTTTCTGCTCCATACTCCTAGGCATTGAATAATAACAGAAGAACAAAATATAAAAATTAAAATATGTTATATCCAATGGCAGTACTGAAAATATAAGAGGATAGGCACTTTTTTTTCAAACAACAGACAGGATGAAACAAATACCAATTAGCTCAGAAGTGGCAATTTTTATCTTAAGCACAAAAATATTCATTAATTCATTTCCTCATCAGATATGTTTACTGAATATGTATGTGGCTCTGAAATTAAGGTATTAGAAAATAAAGACAAAGGTCTTAGTTTCAAGATTACTACATGTTAGTTAATTCTATCTACAGTCCCATAAGAGTGTATATTTAGCAAGACATTCTTAGATTTTCCTCCAGCCTGTATGAACTTCCCAAAAAACAAATATTCAATCATACAAAATATATGGAGTCTGGCATGCTATTGAGGAATCTTACAACAATGGTAATTTTCAATAAAATAATTGGAGCGAATGTGATGCTGTGTGCCAGGAGTTTCCTGTAGCAGAGGTGTTAATGTGCCCTGGCTCATTAGAGGATTGTGTCAAAGAAGGTTGGACTGAAGTTCACTTTCATTTATTTTGTATCTTCTTCAGGCTGTTACCCAGTTATTTTCCATAGCTCTAAAGTGCCCCCTATTATTTTGACCAAATGTGCATTGTGATAGAAAGGATGTGATACTTTCAGCAGAATTACTTAATTAGGTTTAAGTAAGCAGTACGTGCCGAGTAGGTAGCTTTGCTTTTTAGCCATAAAAATGTGCCTGCAATGCAATCTTCATTCCAAAGAAGTGAGACACAGTGATTGATGTGATGATAAAACGATGAAGGGAAGGGTAAAGCCTGAGAGATAGAAGTCTCAAAAGGGAAATAAAGTAGGGTAGCAGCTGCCCCCATCTTAATTGAAGCATAAATTTAAGAAACAGGATCTGAGGTTTAATTTCAAGCACATATTGGGAAAGTTTACTTGTGTGTATGTGTGTATACCTTTGTGTGTATGTGTGTGTGTGTGTGTACACTGTGTGTGATGAGAAACACGTAAGTTACATTCTTTTCAACCTTTGTATGTGGGGTTTCCAAATCTTTTTTTTTTTTTAAAGGAAGATGTTGCAAGTGTAAAAGGCTCATTGATTTCCACTGACAGTCATTCATGCAGTCCACATTTAAGAGTGACTGACAGAATGGATGATGGGAGGGAAGTGTCTAGGCACTGGTGATACGGAAGATAGAAACCATAAAATGTTTCTTTACACAAGGAACTGAACTTTCATTTAAGTTTTCTCTCTGTACATACGTTCTCTGTACTCATCCCATTTCTGTGAGAATGATTTTCTTAAGTTAGATTTAATATTTATAACCACCAGAGTCATGAATGTGAAACAATTTAGTGTAGCCCTTCCTTCCATGCCCAACTTTTGACATTTCCCCTCACATCTCCATGTCAAATTTCCCATTCTCCAAACATAATGTTTATTTTGCCCCACGAAGACTTTGCTAGAAAGTACCCTGAACCTGGCATACATTCACATCTATTTCCCATGCATTAAAATCCTTCCTACTTCTTAGCAGTGTGACTAAAATGTCTCTCAAGCTTCACAGACTCTTTAATATTCCTTTCAGTTTTAACAGTCCTGCATCTTAGTTCATGGAGAATTTTGCTTGACATATTAAAATCTTAGTTCATTTTTCTTGAATTGGATTAGATGTCTTTACATGTTTACATATACTTCACGTGTGTGAACTCCTCGAGGACAGGGCAAGGCGTGTTGCTCATTTATTTCTGACCTCTTACTTCCTTACATGTAGTTGACACTTAAAAATAAAATGGGGGCCTCCCTGGTGGCACAAGGAGCTAAAGTGCAGCACTGCAAAGCTAGCCACAGCTGCTTCAGTGGCTTCAGTGCAAGTTCAATCCCTGGCCCTGGAGGTGACCCATATGGCACTGCAGACCTCTCCCGCTTCACCCGCTACTCCTTTCAGCAGTGTACTTAATCAATCTGCCTGTTCTGTTCCCCACTCTGTCTCTGGTGAATCCTCTCACTGCCCGTGCACCTCTGGCCTGTACCCCAGCTCTGTGTGCATAAATGAATAAATCTTAAAAAATTAAAATGTTTGGAGAGCAAGTAAAAATGTAGCCAAAAAGTACCAAGAATCATATGAGACTTTTCACCTACTTCACTAAGTTCTCAAGATTTTATTTGCAGATCTCAGAATAAGAACATTTGCAGAGGAGAGAATGTTCATTGCTTTTTGTAGAGAGCAAGAGACACATTGCATACACAGGAGCTACTTCAGTATTTTTCATGAACCACCTTGTAAACTGTATATCCTATTGCATGGGGACTGCTATTATCAGAAGTGCTCTGAAAAATCTCACCCTTTATATTTTCTCTTTATAGTTTAATATTACTCCTATGTACAAGCATAGAGCAAACCTTTACTTTAAAAGGGGGGGGGAATGCTTTTAAATCTAAGGAACTGAACATATTTATGCCTTTGTTAAAATTTCTGAGAAATAGAATCGGAAAACCTTGACACTCATTCAGCTTTATGAAGAAGGTAACATGATCACCATAAGAAGTGCCCTGTCATTCTTTTAACAGATAACGATTAATTTTCAAACTAAATAAACTCTAAAACTGTAATGGTCACATTTCTGTTCATCTTGGAGAGTTAATATTTACCTGGGAAATACATGAATTTCCTATCAAGTATTTTATGTCCAGAGGGCTCTTCTAAGTCATATGTTTTTATACTGAACAGTGGAATGAATAATCTCCATACATTCCAATCAATATGATTCACTTCAAAAGACTGTGTGAAGAGATAATATTTCTTTATAACATTTGGCTCAAAAATAGGTGTTCACTTTTTTTCAAAATTGATAATTTATGTATTTCAGAAAGATAAAGCATCCTAAGGAATAAAAACACACATCTCAAAAATAAGATATGGGGCCTCTCTGATAGCACAGGAGTTAAAGTCTCAGCACTCTCAAGCTATTGCCAGCCACTGCTGCATGAGTTTTATTCCTGGATTCTGTCTTGCCTGCTGCTTCCCACCAACAGTATATTTCAGTAAATCTGCCTATTCTGCTCCCCAATCTGTCTCTGGTGAATCCTCCCAAACTGCCCCCCACCTCTGTCCTAGACCCCAGTTCTTGTATGCATAAATAAATAAAAATAGATCTTAAAAAAGGACAACTCATTTTCTGTGATAAGATAAATGCTAATGATCACATTACTACATGATTATTTACCTTCAAAATAGATTGAATTTTTTCTCTCTTTTTCTAAATCTGATGCTTGAACATGCAACTTCAATTTTGTTGGAAGTATTGAATGAAACATAATAAAGATGAATTTTATTTTGGACCAAATGATTTAAGATAAAAGATTAAGAGTTTGAAGCCCATTATGAAGCAACTGTGCTTGCTATAATTAGATGCTAGATACTAAAGTTATGAAGCATGGGACTACAGTGAGCTTCATTCCATAAAAGTGTCCTGCATTTTGATAACACTTTGAAGAGCATATTGGAAGAACTATTCTAAATTTTGGTGACCTACCAAGCTAGTTAACATAACAAACCATCATTACTAACTCAATGAGTTAAATAGGGATTTTCCATCATGAGTGTCTACACTACAGCCAACAAATTTTAATTTGTTTAGTTCATGACTGAGTTTCGAACTTCTATGCTATCATTTTATATATAGATAAGGTGATGGCAGGGGGGTATGTAGTACATTATAGATTACTAGTAGCATACTAGCCCTCTAAAGGTTCTTATTTACCTCCAAATAATCATATTAGGCTCAAGTTAGTAATTGAACTCTATTTATTTTATTTCCAGAAAGTGAAAAGTTCTATTTGTAAAAAGACCCTAAAGAATTAAATGACTTAGAATAATGCCCTTCAATTGTTTTAATTTTCTAATGTTTCATGTTTTTATATCAAATTGAAAGATAATCTTGCTTTGGGATGCATACAATTCAAAGAAGACAAAAAAGCTTTGATGGCCTTAAAGTCATAGGACAGGAATAACTTGTGGTTAAAATTGTTGATAAATCTAAATTATGTTATAGAGAAGGAAAAGCACTGAAGAAAAATGTAAGAAGATCAGACCAAAGTATGGAAATTAGCTGAGAAGAAATTTATAGCATAATACACAAAAGTAGAAGAAAATAATATTTGAATAAGACTATTTTAAAATTTAGCAACCATAATAACAGTAATTGTGTCACCATATTAAATAATACTCAGGTGAACAAAGTTATCATAATACTGTCACAGAAGTAAAAGAATAACTGAGTAATCTAAATTGATGCAAACTTAAATAATACAATATCATATGCCATGGACTGCTATTTTATATCATGTAAATTTAAATAGAGGCAACACTTTACTGCATCTTCAAAAGTATAACACTCCATTACAGGGTGGAGTAGTTAGCTAGAGGAAATCTATAGCTTGAGATAGTTGGCTGTTGCTTTAAACTAGCAACCATAGTAGTCTGTGTCTGCCTTATGTGCATTTTAAAATAACCACTCTCTTCTCTTGAGAAAAAGGGACTCAATTATTACTATATACATTTCCTGAATCTATTCTTCAACAAACTGTTCATGGACTTAGAAAGCAAATAGAAAGCTATACATTATTCAACAATCTTGGCAACACACTACAGCCCTAGAGCAAATGATAAATGATCAGCTGCCTCCTTCAAATCTTACCTGGTTTACTCTTTTTGAAATTCCAACCCTTGCTGTCCACCATGCAGAGCTCTTGACCACTGGGTGAAATCCAGACTGGATAGCTGATCATGATAATTCCAACATGTCATGGGCAGCAGCGTCTCTCAGCGTCCCACAAGCCAAGTGCTTGAAATGAACCTGCAACACACAAGGTGTTTCTTCATTTTAGCTGAAAAATACTGTCCCATGCCCTTCCTTTGTTTAAAAGGCATCACTGCTCAATCAATAAAGGTGTCATAGAGGAGTCTGCGGAGGATTAGAAATGCTTTGCAAGATGCTTTAAACATCAAAGTTAGAAGATGGAAGATTTTTTTTTATTGTGCATATTTCAGCTCTATTTGAGTTGCCAGAATAAATAACATTTTTGATAAATAACATTTGATAAATAACATTTTTGATAAATAACATTTTTTTTCCCTCTTTCCATATATGACTGCTTGGATTACTTAGAGTATTTTTCTGACTCTACCCATAATATTCTCAGGATACTGAGACAATGAGCCTTAACAGGGAAAAAAATCCATCAGCAGTCACAAGAAAATCCACATCGTGCTCTAGATCAAGGATAGTTTTCTTTGTGAGTTCTGACACTCTAGTCAGAATCAACATCCTTGGTATACAAATTGCAACCTCTCAAGATAGTGTGTGAGACATACTTTTGAGGGACCTATGTGAGGTGCTATATTCAGCAGCCACCATTACCCATGTCAAGACACAGTCTATAACACAGTAACCAACAGGAATTTGTGGTCAGAGACTATATACAGAGGAATGGCCATTGCCCAGAAAAGTAAATAGAAAACCAATTTGGTGGGTGGTAATATTATAATGTCTATATAGAAAACATGGTCTTTAAACTTGATAAGCATATTTGACTTACACTCAAGGGGAAAAAAGAGGAACACCAACAATAGTTATTGTATTGTATCACTTAAATAAATACAGTGACATTGAACATGTCACTTATGTTCAATAGAAACATAAAGAGATAAATAGATTTGCTTATTTGTCTTCCCAGGGACCAGTAGGTTATGTTTTAGCTCCAAAAACCATATTTAGTTAAGCACATACAAAACAAATTTGCTATGATTATTATTTCCTAAGTAGTTAAACAGAAATGGTTGCTATGCTGAGTCTGGAAGGAACTCATGTGAGTGATTATGTGCTGCACAGTCATGCACACAGGTATTAAAACTGACTTTACCCCAAATGCTACATCCTTGTGTCCTGTGACCTGAGCTTCAAGTATTCTCGGAAATCAATGTGGAGAACTCCTTAAAATACACAGGTGAGATACTGCAGTGTGCCATTTTAGCAAGGATGGTAAAATGTCAAGGGGTGATAGTCTAGCATATACCTTATACTAAAGTGCAAAAAACTGAAATATATCCTTACAGAAAATACTTCTGTACCTTCCACAAAATGACCATTTTGAAATTCAAAACAGGAGTTATGTTGATGCTATTAATGACAAATACACTACACATAGGTGGTTGAAATGTTCACATTATAGAACCAAGTTTTGACATTCTGTAAGCAAAAATGTTAGTCAACTTTGGATCCATCCTGGGTTCCATTCATGCCAAAAATAATGTTACTTCTTTCCTGAGGATGTTCTGAAAGAAATCAAATTTATTCTTTTCTAACAAATATGTTTTCATAAGTTGTGATCCTTTTCAGTCTCTTAATTGCCATGTGGGATACTGGAAGAAATTCTATACTAAAGGACCAAGAGACAGGAAGTGCTTACAAACATAATCTCCAAGCTCCCAGACAATTATTTTAAATATTTATTTTATTTATTTATGCAACAAGAGATGGGACACAGGCCAGAGGTACAGGGATGGTGAGAGCAGTCACCAGAGGCAGCGTGGGGAGCAGAACAGGCAGATTGAGGAAGTACACTGCTGAGAGGAACAGTGGGCGGGTCAGGTGAGATCTCTGAGCCATGTGGGTCACCTCCCTGTCTGGGGAATCAAAGTTGTGCTGCAATGGCTGAGGATACCTTCATTGTGCTGAGGTTTAATCCGAGTAACCAAGGAGGCCCTCCCAGACAACTGAACAATATTAGAAACTTACTTGCTTTGCAAGCACCCTTCTGTGCCCTAGTATGGCTTTTTTGCTACTTTCTATAAATGGAAATACATAAATTTGCATAATTGCTTATTATAATATAAATTACACTATAAATACATGATGCTATTGGCCTATTGTTCAATTTAATTTAAAACAATAGTGATGACCTTTCACTGATCATTGATCAGTGACTTATCTAATAGCTCACATATTACTTCTACAAATGTAATTGAGCACCACAGTTGTTTCAGGCAGAGTACTAGGTGCTCAGATACAAAAAGAAAAGACCTACTCTCCATAAAAAGTAAAACAATTATCGGGCCCTCCCTGGTGGCGCAGCTGGTTGAAGCACAGCACTGAGAATCTAAAGTCGCTTCCACATGAGTTCGATTCCCGCCTGCCCCGGAGGTGACCACATGGCGTGGCAGACCTCTCCTGACCCACCCGCTGCTCCCCTCAGCAGTGTACTTTGTTGATCTGTCTGTTCTGCTCCCCACTCTGTCTCTGGTGAAGCCTCTCACTGCCCCTGAGCCTCTAGCCTGTACCCCAGTTCTGTATGCACAAATAAATCAATCTTTAAAAAAAAAAAAAAGTAAAACACTTATCAATTCTGTTCAGATTTGTGGTCATGCATTTGTAACCAAGAAAAGTAACAAAATTAGACCAAGTCAAAATAACAAAGTTAATTTTATAATCTGTCTACTATATGACCTGACCATAGGATTTTATGAAGTTTGTCTGTGGGTGCAGCACTATAAGCCAAGGGAAAGTATAATACAAAACAATAGAATCATACAGTTGACTCATGCAAAGTTTTACTGGATATGATGGCTTTTATATCACAGTTAAGTCCTTATCAGCCCTTCTAATTGATTGAGCCAAACTAGTTCAAAACATCCAGTCACCAAAGTTTGTATTCCTAGCAGCCAGTATAGAATCTGTGTCTCCCAAATGTGTGTATTGAACATTAGCCTAGGTTGTTGACATCAAAAGCCAACAGACTTGTTTTTGGCAGTGTGAGGTGAGGAAACACTAGGTTTCCTACTAACACAAGTTTTGTACTTTTTGTATTATCATTCATTCATTTCCTCAAAGACTATATATAAATTTGTATATATACATATTTATGTATATATATATATGCAAATCTGTGTATATGTACATATATGTGTATATACATATATATGGTGTGGGGGGTGTTTATTCTACTTAGAGAGGTTTATGAACTATTCATAAGAAATACTAATTCAATGACATCATTTGAAAATTTATTTGAATACCAATTTTACAACAAAAATGGTTTAAAATAAATGTTCTTCTTCTTGGTTTAAATAAACTATTGAAAATGTACATGAAAACAAAGGGAACAGGCAAGGCCTTAAAAACCACTCTCTTGGCCCTCCTTGGTGGCGCAGCGGGTTAAAGCCCAGCACTGAGAATCTAAAGCCACTTCCCCATGAGTTCGATTCCCGCCTACCCCGGAGGTGACCACATGGCATGGCAGACCTCTCCTGACCCACCCACTGCTCCCCTCAGCAGTGTACTTTGTTGATCTGTCTGTTCTGCTCCCCACTCTGTCTCTGGTGAAGCCTCTCACCGCCCCTGACCCTCTAGCCTGTACCCCAGTTCTGTATGCACAAATAAATAAATCTTAAAAAACAAAACAAAAACAAACAAACAAACAAAAAACACTCTCTTATTCCAACAACTTAGATGGGACTTAAGGTGATATGCTGTGCACAATACTTCAGAAAGAAAAAGACAGACTGGATGGTTTCACTTTTATGTGCAATGCAAAGGGAAAAAACAAACAAACAAACAAAACAACTAACAATACAAAACAAAACTAACAAAACAAAGCAAACTAACAAGACAAACCAACCCACACTTACAAAAATAATGCTTAGTGGAGAAAGGGGCAGAGAGGTAGAAACAAGAGTGTGTCACTTACTGATGAGTGGTCAAGGACCCTGCTGGTAGGGATGGTGTCCTCTATACATTTATCAAGTGTAAAGCTACAGCCTGAATTTTTCCCTGACTTTTATCTTATTAATTTTTAATTATATAATTTAAAAATTGAGGTAACATTGGTTTAAAACACTGCATATGATTTAGAGGTGTAGATTCACCCCTCTTCAGAGATGTGTTATCACATCACACCTAACATTAATGCATCAATAATCTTCCACCATAATCCACTTGGGCCCTAGCCTTCTGGTAATTAACTCTGTAGTCAAATTTATAATTCCTGAAACTTATTCTTAGAAATGAAGTGAGTTTTACTAAATTCAATATGATTTCCAATTGGGTTAACTTTTTTTTCTATTTTCCTATACTATTGAGTTTTCTAATTACTACTTGAGTGACTTGTCTGAAAACAAGACTCTTGAAAAGTAAAATCTATCCTTATTTTCAAAAAATTGCATACTATGAAAGAAAAATATGTTTTACTGAATGTGAATTATGCCTAAAAAATACTGATAATTTTTAATTAAATTTTTGTGTGTACAAGAGATTCTAAATAGAGTGATGATATGAAGAACTCATTGATAAAATACTGCTATATGTGATTCAAAACATGATAAAAATGAAAATAAAATTTGAAAAATGTAGAAAAATTCAAGTATTCACAAATTCTATTTCCCGATTCTTGATTTGGCCGTAAGTGCTTTCTAATTGAATTTTGTACTTCTTGTCTTTCTTTATGCACATCACTGCTATCCTTTTAGTTTTATCTCATTGCTTTAAAAAGCTTTCCAAAGGATCCCTTCAGCACATAGGCACTTATTTCATAGGCTATTGAGTTGTACTTGTTGATCTGTTGCTCTTTAAACTCGGTCTCTAGTTTATGCTTTATTTTCCCAGTGGAAGCATGCTGCTTTGCCTTCTGCGTAGCCTACATAAACTAGAAGATGCTCAGCATTGTGAGCTCAGAGCATTAGTTAAATGTCTGTCAGCTGCATTTTGTAAGCTTTGTATCTTTGGTATTAGTTTTCCAGCACAACCAATAAAAATATAAACATCAGGGATGCAGGAAAAGGCAGATTATCAATAATCAAAGC